AGTATCAGAAGCACACAATACTGCCCAAGCCCTGAGAAAGGCAATCACGCAATCTGCGTAGAAAGGGAGGGAGGGACTGAGGCACAAACAAACTTTCTGCTGCAATTCCCAAGTAGGAGGAAATACAAAGTAGGTATTTTCTTAGATTGCTGGGAATCAAAGCCATAAAAGGCTTCTCATTAAAAAACAATGAGGACAAACTAAAAAGCCCAACAAGGAGAGATTTAAGAATAAAACAGAGTCTGGAGGAGAATACAGTATTTACTGCATGGTCCAAAAACCTTCAAAGGAAAGATTAAAAAAATTCAAGCCCTTAAACAGCAACAGATGAGAAGAACATTTGTCTCTGGTAACTTGGGCTCTGAGCAAGGCATCTGTTCTGCAGTGGTCATAAAAAGCAGAGGAAGATAAACTCTTCCATAGGTTGGTTCATCTTTCTAGTTAGGATGGACCAGACTGGGTGCATCTCACTCCCTGCAGTGGAGATGGTGGTCAAGCCCATCAGCCTTGATCTCCACTTCCTCAGCAGTTAAACTTATCAGAGATGCACCTTGTCCAGGGAGAAGTGGCAGGAAACACTGTAAATCTTTATGTGAGAAGGATAATCTCTCCTCTATGTCCACCACAAACAAGGAGAAAAAGGAACAGAGTTCAGTTTCAGCGAGAAAGGAGGTACTGGGAGTAATCCCTTATGGGAAGAGGAGCGACATGTGGGGATGGGTCACCTGGGAGGGCTGCTGGATCTTTCAAAGGGCAGATTAGAGAAACATCTGCCAGAAATGACACTAATTTAGCTGATTCTGCCTAGGGGTAGTGGGATGGACTGGGTGATCTCTGAAGGTCACTGCCAGCCCCATTTTGATAGGCCTTCTTATACTATCTGATAAATCTGGCTTTGCACTGTGCAGTAATAAATTTGGCTGGGGTACTGCTGAATCAGGTGCAGGACAGCTAAACACATCCCTAACAGCTCACTTTTCAGACCTTTTTTCTCTAAAAGTTTTTAAAATGTGTACTGCTTATCAGGCTAATCCATAGTCACCGAATTGAACTGGCCAGAGGCAGCCAGCTCATCACAGATGAGTGAAATTACTTCCATTGGTTTTCTGAATAGTTTTTTGTTCACCTTACCTTTTGACATTTGTCCATCTTTGCATAAAAACA